ATAAAACAAGGTTACGTGTTGTGCACGGTGAAAAATCACTTCCAAGGCAGCAATTACAATAATGAGCCGGTTTCATTCTGAACGATTTAGAGTCATGGAAAATATTTTCTAACTAAACATTTAGCCAAAGCAGTGAACCAAGGTTTAAGGTCTTAGACTTGAAGATAATCTGTCAGTTGTGGACTGGGGGATGGTTAGAGAGAGGGCCTAAATGCAGGCTGAAAATCAAAAAAAAAAAAAAAACACAAAATGTTTAGGTCTAAACTAATTAAACTAAACATGAAAGCACCACCAATGAACCCAGAAATCCATGAATCAAGAAGATAAATGCGGAAATCCACCAACCTAACCCGTCTCATATTTGAATGTCTGTTTATCTCCAGCGTTGTTAACCTCGGCTCTTACTCTTGATTACACCCTTAATTGCGAAATTTTGATGTATTCACACTTTGTGCACAGTTTCTAAAGCAAACTGCCTTTGATATCCCATCTTTGTCTTATAGAGTCATACTGTATGTTAGCAGGCAGGTAGCAGGTAGTGCGTGTGTGCGCTTCAGTGTTTCCTTCAGTGTCACCGATTGGTCATTTGCTGACACGCCTATTGGATTGATTGACAGATCACAAAAAAAAAGAGAGCTGGCAGTCCCAGCCGCAGTGGTGTTCTGTGTTTATATGTTATTAATGAAAAATTCTAAAAAATAAAATAAACAGGGAGCGCTGGCCCTGCAGCTCACACATCAGACCAGCCCACCAGGAAATCTCCAGACCTGCCCGCAGCCACGCTGGACCTGATTTTAATTCGCTTGTGACAAATTCCTTCATTTTTCACGAGTCATGGCGTCAATGGAGGAGAAGGAAGAGATCACGTGCCTTTTGGCAAAAAAACTAAAGGAAAGGCCAGATCAGGGATGAAGAAGGAAAATTTAATACATTGGTGTCGCATACAAAACAGTCCGTCACCGGGTAGTTTATTGTGCGACACTGAGTACGCGGTCGTGAAAATTGAGCTTTGCACAGACTCTAATCCGGTACGCACAGACCTCCGCAGACTGACATATGTGCCATTATACTGGAGGCTTAAGTGTCAGAAGCATTTGTAACTAATGTGTTTGTGTGTGTGTGTGTGTGTGTGGGGGGGGGGGGGGGGGGGGGGGGGGGGGGGGGGGGGTGACTGTGGGTCCTTCACTAGAAAATTTTAAATAAAGTAGATTCCATTTCCTGCAATCTGGTGTATTTTAATTGGTTGTTAAACATCTATTTTCACCTACATAAGTAAACACTTGATTCAGTAACTACCGATATTTTAGAGTTAATGGCACAACAAGAAGTAGCCTGACCAACAGCTCTCCTTGTGTGAATAGAGCATGTTATGCTTCTCTCACGCATCCTAATCACACCCCCCAACAACTGTATTGCGGTGTGCAATACAGATGCGCTAGCTTAGATGCTACTGACATAGAGCTCCGCTTCTCTCATACATGCCCCCCTCCCCAGCTCCTGCAGGTAAGGGGCATTTCATTTCAGGACAAATTGAGGTTGTCAATTGGTCAGTTGCTGAGGAGCCTACTAGATTGACTGACAGGTGGGTTGAGGATTTGAATCATGCAAAAAAAAAAAAAAAAAAGATTTTTCTGGCCTGTTTAAATATCATCATTTGTTCCATATTTTTTCAAAATTTATTCAATATTTTGGTGAATCTAAGGTTTGAGATTAAGCTTCCTTACAAAATCCTAATGATGGTTCCCCCTAAAGTGTGTTTGTGTTGAATTTTTATTTTTTTATCTGAGGGCATTTTGACATAGTGACCAGACAAGCACTGGTTATGGGAAACCCAGTTTATGACAGGGTAGATGGCTTTGGTAAATTTTACCATTTACCTAGTTTTGGTCACAAACTTTAACAACATGTTGCACAACTCAAAGACAAACACTGTCTGCTGAAGATACAACACATTCGTTTTTTGTCCCTTTGCCCCTATTAGTTTTTTACAATTTGTTTATTAAAAAGCTGTCTGTTGTCTGCGCAGGTTGACCACTTCATTCTCTGTTACTCTTTAGGTTATTTGTACAGCAGAGTGGTTTGTGTTTTAGATGAAGTTGAAGACAAAGGAAAACCAGCCCCTCCAAAGAAACCATTAAATTCAGTAGATTTAGTTATTGCTTAAAGTGTTCTTGATTTATTGTTTCCATGTGGAACATGGAAAATTCTCACTTTATTTTCATGTTTTAACAGCCAACTGGTCTCTTTTTGTCAAAAACATCCAGTTTTATTGCATAATATGTGTTCTCATAAACTACCTGGATGGCCTCTCAGCTCAGGCACAATTCCAGGTAACCCAGGCATGAGTTCTTTTCCTGTGCTTCCCCTCCTACATCCTCCAGGCATGGTTTGGGCCATGCATGGGAAACTGACTCATGGATACCTTTTCTTTTTTAATAGAGAAAAAGCTGTTATGCTCCTTGAACTTTCTGCTCAATAAGAATATCCAGGCAGGGACTTGTGAGGCCTGGAAAATCCAGGAATAGTCATTTTGTTGTTCCCAGATGGTTTAGAAAATATAAATTGGGGCCCGGCAAAAGAAACAAAGTTAGTTTTTTTTTTAATGAAGGAAAACATAATATATAACAGTAAAAGGAAAACAGAATAGGGTTAAGTATGTTTAGAAAATCTTGAACAAACAAGTTATTTTGTGGTATCTTGCATGAATATTATGTTGTTAATAATATATTTTCTAATAACCGGAGCTTCATTTTGATGTAGGAACTGTAACGAGAACAAGAACCAAAATAAATATTAAAACTGCAGCTGGTGGCTTATTATGGACACCATGGTAACCACACACTTGTGTCTTTCACTCCCTGACTGCTAAGTTAATGAGAGGCAGACAAAAACAGACCGATAAAAGCCATAAACTGTTGTAGTTTGTAAATTATAAGAATTCTTGAAAAGTGAGCAGCTGAAGACTCCAGTGGTCTTACAAGGGAATTTTTATGTTTTTTCCAGTGTTTTATGTAGGAGATATAACAAATTAAAATAAATCAATTTTAGCTTTGAAGAGAATATTCAGCTAAAATATAAGTGAAGTCTGAAAGACTGTGTGTGCACTCTCTGGTGGGGTTTGACAGAAAACCATAAACTCCACAGTGATTGACACGATGGGGGAAAGGAGACAAAGAAGCATGTTTTGATGCTTTTTATTTTTATTTTTTTGAATATTTATCAAAAATAAATGTGGGAGGGACACGAGTTTGTTTGCAAAATTAACAAAATAAAAAATTCTAAACAAAAGTTAGTGACATCAGTCACCAGTAAAAAATATCTGTAAATATCCTCAAACTGTGATTGTGCACAAACAATTAAAAATATCAAAATGCCAGTTCAATCACATAAAGTCCAAGCTTTTATTTATTTTATTTTTTATTTCACCTTTATTTAACCAGACATTAAGAACAAATTCTTAATTACAGAGCCGGCATCGCAGCACCAACAGGCCCTTGCAGGGTCAAGGGAAGAGAAACAGTTAGGCAAACAATAAAATATAGAAGTCATTAACAAACAAGGAAATCACAAATTACATTAACAACAGTTCATTGTCAAAGGTAAACGACAACATTACCAAGCATGGAAACATTTGCAAGTATCTTCAAACACTGCTTTTAAACATTTTTTTAAAACTAGAAACAAGTGAGTTCAGACTCAAAGTGTTTTGAAGCAGATTCCAGTCAGATGGAGCACCAGAGCCAAAGCCAGACTCTTTAGATTTGTTAACCACAAATACTGAGAGGATCGGGTGTTGTACTTCGAAACCGCTGCTAGTTGCAGTAGATGAGTTAAATATGGAGGTGAATAACTCAGCAACGTTTTATAAATTAGGGTAAACCAATGAATTTCACAACGAGTATGTAGAGAAGAGTAGAGGTGACTGGATTTGTGACCTTTTGTGACCTGTTTGAATTTTGAGCACTGGTTTTACTACAGAGCTCCAAAGAGGGCTTGTTTGTCTCATATACTGCACCAGAACCATGTGGATCTTCTCTGTTTCTCTCATGCTTCTTTGCAAATTGTGTCCATGCTGCGCAGCATACGACCACCTAAAGCCACTGCACAGTCCTGACTGAGCTGCATGTTTGGTGTATAACGTGCATGTTTTATTTTCAAAGCTGCACAACGCGACACAAACTCTAAATTGTCCCTAGGTGTGAGTGAGAGAGTGAATGGTTGTTTGTCTCGTTTGTCTCTATGTGGCCCTGTGATGGACTTGCGACCCGTCCAGGGTGTACCCCGCCCCTCGCACAGTGATTGCTGGACATGGGCACCAGCGACCCCCGTGACCCAAAATGGAATAAACGGGTAAAGATAATGGATGGATGGATGGACAACGCAACACAGAGTATAAATTTGGAATGAGCACTTTTTAGAAGTTATCAGACCCAAACCCTCCTGTTCATGCTTGTCTCCACTTCCTTTCTGCTCTGCTGAGCTGGCGGTGGGCCAACAGGCTGCAGGTTATGTAACTAGTGCCTGACTGCATTGGCACTACAAGTGAATGAAAGTCTCTGATGGACAGCGGAGCTGCAGCATTTTTCTGCTGCTCTCATGGGTTTTCCTCTCACACATGCCTCCAACGTTACAGGTTTTTGGAAACACCTTCAAAACTCTCTTCAGTCTTTCTCATAAACACATTCAAGCTGTTTTGTTGCATAGATTATGCAACGCCATTTTATAAAGCGCCCACTCACCCACACATTTGGATAAACTTTTGAGCGGAGGAGGGATTTTATGAAACACGCTTATTTGGCTTGTTGATGGTTTTATCTATTTGTCCTGCCTGCATCTTACTGCATGGTGATGCAGACAGCAGCAAAACAACATGAAAAGTAAATAAAGGTCTGCAGAGAAGACAAAAATGTGTGTATACATGAAAAAAGGGGTTTTCTTGCTTGACCCAAAGGTTAACTCTCAGTAGTTAATAACTGTAAATGTGTTTTGTTCGTCTACAGATTTGTTTCCTGGTGTCAGCTTTCCATGGTCGATTGTTTTCAGAGGACAGCTGTGCAACTCTGGCGCTCTTCTGCCACTATTTCTACCTGAGCCAGTTTGTTTGGATGCTGATGCAGGTAATGCCAGGACCCAAAAAATATATAAACTACGTGACTCAAACTTCTTGACTATAATCCCACTGGTTCACCAGACTGAAGTAGTTTGCTGTAGATTATAGCCTTTTTTCATAATGTGAGTTTATTCTGGATAATTATATCTTAAAATATAACTTTATTTTTACTTGATGGCTCAAAAATGGCACAAAGTTAGGCTGTTCACAGTTTTTTCTGCATCAAAAGTAATTTTAAAACGAGCCTGACTTATTTCTGTATTAAGCGGTTAATCATTATTCGTACACGATAAGGTGAGTTTTTACTTTTGGCGTAAAATGAAGATTGTTGCGGGATACAAATGTTGACCTTAATGTTCATTTATTAACATCTCACCCTCTCAGTCCTTCCTTCTTCATCGTAAGGGCTTCTTTTACTAACAAAACTAGTGGTGGAGAAAGTACTCAAACACTGTAAAAGTACAAATAAACAGACAAAAATGTACTCTAGTACAAGTACCACATTAACATTTTTACTTAAGTAAAAATAAGTAAGTACTTCCTTTTAAAAATACTTAAAGTATTAAAAGTAAAAGTACTTGCTGAATGTATTACTAATGCAATGGTCTACAGTATCATTAAGTGTGCCTATATGTATATTTTCTGTAATACATTAATAGTGTTGAGCCATTTTAATGAACAATGCTGCAGATGATACATGTTTTTATTGTGTTTACTCTGTGACACAGTTCACACTTGGACTTGTGATTCTGTGCATCAGAATTTCAGGGATCACCTGCAGAGTTAAATGTCATTAAGCAAAATAAGAAAGAGGAATGATTATACCTTTGAAAGTTTTTATTTAGCACAAAACAAAACCAATGTGTCATTTTAACTGCAGTAAACACATTTAAGTAAAAGATGTCTGCCTGAACAAAAAAGAGCATTAGACCCAACAAAGGAATAGACTCTGATCATTTCAACTCCAGTTTGTCATCAACACTAGTTAAAATATTGTCTATTCAACCTTGTAATGGGTCAATAGTGAACAATATTTTAACTTCCTGACACCATTTTTAAAACTTGGACCTGAGTGTGGAGCCATTTGGAGACATCTCTTGTCTCCTAACATCCATGAACTGACACATTTTAAAATTGCAGCAATAATTTCTTGTTCAAGTTCAGAAGAAGTTGGTTTTCATAGGTTTTTGAGTCCAGTCTGGCTCTTTTGGGAGAGATAATCTGTCCTGCTGTCCTGATATGTCTTTCAATAGTCTTTCAATAATCTTTCAATAAGGCCATGGGTAGCACGTATTTTCTGGCTGACTCTCCACAGTGGAATCCATTTTGAGTGTGTTAGCAGTGCTGTGGGTGCGACCAGCTCAGTGACGTATATACTAGAATATACGTCATTGGTCCAGCTCTTCTTGAAGGCGGGTCTAATGTTACCTGCCCACTTTGCAGTGATTCAATGGACCAACTCCCCTCTCCCCATTGGTTACTTTCAAACTAACGAACACATTTTTTTTTTAAATGCAACGTGAATGTAACTTGTAACACATTATAGAAATGTAGTGTAGTAGAAAGTACAGCTACTTAATGTAAAATATAGTGGAATAAAAGTCAAAAGTACCCATGTTTAACTTTACTTAAGTAAAGTACAGATACATGAAAAATGTACTTAAGTACAGTAACAAAGTACTTGTGCTTAGTTACATCCCACCACTGTACAAAACCAATCAATGTACCGTTGTAAAGACTTGAATTATCTGTCTTTAATTAAAAAATAATCATTAAAACCCAAGGATGCAGTCTCAAGGCTTTTTGCTTTCCTCATTGCATGATTCTAAGGTGCTGTGTAGATTTTTCCTGTGCAGTATTTTATCCTTCAGAGGTGACTTGTGACCACAAGAATGTTGTAAACATGGATCAGAGTACCTCAGTAGCTCATTCAGTTTGTTTCTGCCCAAGGAAGAGACCCATGTAATCTCATCTGATCCCTCGCCTTCAGATTATCCGAGAAACAAACATTTTTAAGAACATAGTCTGATTACATAAATTAATTTGACGACCCTTTTATATTTGTTTATGTTGTGTCATGCATGTTCATTACCGAAGTTATTTCAAAATAACTTTATTTAGAATTGACCAGAACAAGTAATGAAAAGCTCAAACAATATTCTGAATTATGTTATTTATCATCATGGTGAATCAAAATATCCTTAATCTGTGATTTTGTGTGATTACATATCTAAATTAAATGTCTCCAAATGGTTCAGTAACAGCTAAAGTTCAGCTACATCACATGAGTGTTGCTCCAAACTCATTACTTCTCCCTAATTTCTCTCCGTATGGCCTCCTCATGAATAAATGACATGTTTTGCCTTGCTTTTACCCCTTTACAGTCATTGGCATGTTACATTTTAAAGTGGATATAATCAGTGTTTACATGATAAACATAATCCCTCCTGGAGCTCACTGAGTTGCTTGTTGGTGGAGAATATTCAGATTAAATCCTGACTATGCTAAAGGAGCTGGAGTTGTGATGCACAGTGCGTGCTGACTGCATAAAGAATGTCTGACGTCTGGTTCTTTTGTTTGTTTTTAACCAATAATGACTTCTGAGATTTCTTAAGGGATAAGGGCTCAGAGGCTTAAGAAGTGTTACAATCTGCATGTCAGGAGCTGAGATGAAATAACCTGCAAACTGGTTTTAGGCACGCATGTTTGTTGTTGGAGCTGATTGCGTCTAGTGGAGAATTACGAATAACTGGGGCAACGCTGCACGGAGAAAATCACTTTGGAGATTCATGCGCTCGCGCTGTTGCTCGCTGAAATGCATCTTTTCATGAATTGCTCTTGTTCATCAATACTCCAGCCTAAAAGCCTCTCAGCTCATTTATTGGCTCTCAGCAGATATTCTTGCTGAGGATGAAGTTATGCCGCCACTCTGGCCTACATTAACGCGTGGCACTGAACCCTCATTGTCATCTCCGATGTGACGCCTCACTGCCCTTTTTTTGTCTCATCAGATAGCTGCTTTCAGATAAGTGACTGAAAGGATCAGGCGCCAGCAACCCATCTTAGAGCGAGACTGGGGAATATACCTTGGCTTAATGCCAGTAATTTAATCACTATCCTGAAAGGCCTCTTCTTGACGCTCCCAGCATGCTTCAACTGTGCAGCGTATTATAAAACACAAGCCAGGAGAAGCTCATCTGATCTGTTTTTGCAGTGTGTGGTTATCCTTTTTCAATGTGCCGTCTGAAAGTCGAACAAAAGGAGACCTACTTTACAGCTGTGTAGTCAGACGAGACAGCCTGTTCTGAGCAGACAAATGTGTTTGTTTGCAATAATAGTAGGACACCCCGCCTCAAAGATGACCTGAAAAATAGTTTAAAGGAAAAGTTCATGTCTTTTGAAGTGGCGTTGTTTGGAAAAGTTATAAACAGTGTCTTACCTGATGCAGATGAATCTTTGAATAATTTCCGTTTGGTGAAACTGAGTTTTTATTTTTATTTTTTTTATCAGATTGGTGAGCTATAAATGCTATTTTTATTTATTGGGGACTGCCTAGTAAAGCAGCCCCTTATCATTATCCACCTAACAAGGGTTTATTAACTTTACATCTTACTCTTCCGTCAACTTTAATGTGGCCCGTACCACAATGTGTACCCCCACAATTGTTATATCAAAACGACCAGCTCGGCACCGTGATGTGTGCTATTACTTTTAACCATTTTTCTCATTCAAAACACCTGATGGAACTCACCAGCTTCTAACTGCTATAACTCAGTCATTCTTTGAGAAACTGAGTTGAAATTTGCTCTGGTCGTAGCTGAGAGCAAGTTTTCTTACTAAGGCGAGTCAAACATCCAAGATGGCCACCAAAGCTACATTTAAACGGCTGTAACTAAGCTATTTTCACACAGAGTTAAAATTTGGTGAGGTTATAGCTGAAAACGTTTCCCATCACATACTGAATCCAAGTAAAAAATCCAAGATGGCCACCATAGCTTAACAGGAAAAATGACTATAACTCATTGATTTTTCTTTTTTTTTTTAATTGCCATATTGAGTAAATAATTGGTATAGTGGTAGCTGAGAGTGAACCCCTGTCAAATCAAAATTTTAAATTGGCAGCAGTCCCCATCAAAAATTCTCCAGGAACATTCTAGTTTAATTTCATTTTATTATTTGGGTTTGACCCTGATCAAACTAGACATGACCTCTTCAGGTCAGTCAGAATAAAGTCCATTTATGTTAATGAGTTATCCACAACAGGTAAGATATTGTGTTTGTAACGTTTTTCACAGAACCTCACAAAAGATCTGAACTATCTTTTCATGACGCAGATAAACAAATGACGAAACAAGATTTTTTTTTAATAAAAGAAAACTTCTCATAATACTTTTTGATATTTCTTCTCCTTCCTAATTAAATCTGACAAACCCCCTCAGAAAAATACAACTAAGCATTTTTCAGTGTGACGTTTTACATTTTTCATTAAGTATGGTGGCCCTGAGTGTAAAGGAACAACATTTGAAAAAATGGAATTACATTTGAACAAAACTGAATTAAATTAAGTCAAACCGTAAGTGGTGAGGTTTTATTTATTTTAATGTTCTACTTTATTAACATCATAGAACAAAAAACGATGTACAGTAACAAGATACAAATACCAACTCTCGTGAAGGGTGTGGGGTCCGTGAATCATTTGTTCAGTTATTTTTTAATTCAGAATCTGAAATAAAAAATAAATAAAATAAAAAAATTAAAAAAAAAACAGACATTTCTTTAGTCATTTTCACGAGGGATTCAAAAAATACAATACAGCCATGCTTTTTGCATTTTTCACTTTATCCGTCACATCATTTTTTGTTGCGATGGATAAAACATGATGGGTCCATCTCTACAGTTTTTTATTTTAACTTTGATGAAAGATTTTCTAGTTTGAGCTTCTTCCACTGTTCATTTTCAGCATCTTCAGCTAATTCCCTCAGTCTTGCATCACTCAGCCTTTAGTCTGCATTTTTGCAGAAGATGCTCATTTCTGTAGTTGCATACTGTTAATTGACTTTAAACAAATATAAAACTATGAACAAAAAATTGGATAATATTGCTTTTCAATTTTTTTATCTATGATATTTCAATGCTGCCCAAATCTCTCAGCTAATAATACATTTATAACTTTAATGCAACCTAAAAGCAGTTGTAAATACAAAAAACATGCTGTTGATAAAAGGCACAACAAAACAAACTCATCTAAGTCTGCAAGCCTGCAGACCTGGATCCCAGCCATGCTCCCTGGCAACACAATGTTGTGTATCAACAGTTAAACTGCAGAGGCCACAACTTCAGCACAGTTGTTGTTTTCGGCTGCTTCCTTTCTGCAGGAGTCTCCACAGCGAGCAAACTCACATGTAAAATTTGGCGATTACTTTATGGCAGACGTAACCTGGGCTCAAAAACTGCAGCCTCATGAATACAAGACCTCAGCGCTGACCACCAAACTGCACACTCTTCATAATCCAGTCTTCTGGATCTCTCCAGCCCTGCTCACCCTTTAAGAACATAAGCTCTTAGAGCTGCCTGACTTCCCTCTATTGTCTCAGCGCAGCACAGCCGAAGTGTTACACAACAGAGCCAGCATTTATTTTTTTTATTTTTTGAGTACTGCATAGATACTATCTGTTTGTCTGCATTCGTCCTTGGGTGTTTGTGCGGTCAGGTTTGGATTGAGGCGTTGAGGAGTCAGCGTTTGTTAGCCTGCCGGCATGTGCTGTATCACGTTGTCCTCGTGTAAATGTCCTGTTCGAGTGTTTGCAAACAGATGGCCATAAAGATCATCTGCAGCCATCGAAGCTGTTAGTTTTGTTCATGCGCCTCAGCTACTCCTGTTCTGTGTGAGTTTCTCTGAGCTGCTCTCAACTTGGAAATGTAAAAATGGATCATTCGTCTGTTTTTGCTCTGTCCAGACGCTTCATAGAGTCAGAAGACTTCGTGTCTGCACAGCCAACGACATGTTTAAAGAAACATGCGCAGAAAAAGCTTGAAAATATGACCCCCCACCCCACAGTTTATTACCTGTCTGTCTATGTGTGTTCATTTCTCTATAGCACACATGTCAAACTCAAGGCCCGGGGGCCAAATGTGGCCCTCGTTGACATCGTATCTGGCCCCCAAGATGATATGTTAAACAAAAACTACTTTTATCACTTGAATTTTTTCAGTAATCTTTGATTATGATGGTGAAAGTGCAACAGAGAACGTCAAATGAGAGCAATCAAACTCTTGTTGAGGAACCTGTGACCAAGAAAAGATGTTGGGTGTCTGACTTGAGTTAATGTAGTTTCTGAAACTGGTCCTTAGCTGGAAAAAGGTTTTAATTTTGGCCCCATTTTGTAAGTGGGTTTGACACCTCTGCTCTATAGCATTAACAAAACATTACGTTAATCAAACTCTCAGAAATCATTGGATCTGCAGTTGATTAATATCTGGAGTCAGTTAAGATGGCTGCCACGGTTAGGCAACATTTGCAATCACATCATTGGCTATACTAATTTTCAGGTAGCTGAGAGTCGTTCCCTCTGTGTGCTTTTAGCACTAAATGGTTGCATAAAATCTGTCTTTAAAACTTTGCCATCAACCATCGGAGTCTGCTGTCTCTGTCTGTTAGCAAAATATCTAATAAACCACTGGACATATTTTAATAAAACTCTCAGAACGTATTAATTGGTTGTACTTCTACAACTGATTAACTTCCTGAATTAACCGAGTTCAAGCTGGCTGTCGCAGCCAACTGCGCTCGAGGAACACAAGTGTGGCTATAACTCAATTAATTTTACAACTATTGAGCTAAGAATTGACGTGGTAGTGGCTGAGCATTATCCCCAACACATACTTTGAGCGCCACACATTGCACAATGTTTTTACTTAAAACATTGATATTAACTGTTGGCGTCCACCCCATCGGTCTGTTAGCAAAATATCTCTTTAACCACTGGACAAGTTTTAATGAAACTCTCAGTGAGTCGTTGTTGGATGTTTATTTAAAGCTCAGCAAACATTTGGAGTCAACTTAATCCAAGATGGTTGCCACAGATAAAAGACTTTAATGAACACAAAAATGGCTACATTATAGTCAGTTTTACAGCTACTGAGTTAAACTTTGTGTGTTTTTGCTTTGTTTTTTATTTTTATCTCATATGTTTTGCCTTTTTTAACGTCTGATCCCACTTCCTGTAAGTATGTGTTTCTCCTGAACTGTGTCCTCAGGCAGTGAACTTCTGGCAAGTGCTGGTGATGAACGATGAGCACACGGAGCGACGGTACTTGTTCTACTTCCTCCTGGGCTGGGGACTTCCTGCCCTGGCCATCATCGTGCTGGTCATCGTGCTGCTCGGCGGCTTTGGCTGGAACATCCATGCTGTCTATGGCCTGGTGCAAGGAGACGTGTGAGTCAACAGACAAACAAGAGACGCTTTAGAACCAGTGGCGGGAACATGACATCGGTCTATTTTTAACCGAACCCCCACGGTTGTGTTTTAACCTGCCCCGAGTCGTTTGTGTCGACTGTGTTTTTCACAACCGAGGGAAATTCCTGTTCACATGAGAACAGAGCAAAAAGTAAACACCTGAGCCGGTGACATCACATGAGGAGGTGGTTTGTCCAATCAGAATGAAGAAGGATGAACGTTTGCGTGCGCTGTTTTCGCACAGAAGTTTGAGACTTAACCTTAGGGGTGGCGATAAATTGTGGATTTATATTTAGTACGGCAAAAAAGTTAGCGCATAACAGATGAGATCACCTTTAAGTAAAAGCTGGCACAAATGTCTTTACATTGGTGTCTTTTTTTTTAAAGTTTGTTTATTTTTTTTATGTATTTCATTTGTGAAGAAGTGTGCAAATATGAAAACTGATGGAGTTTGGACCCTTAGCTCATGTCTTAAATTAGCCAGCGGTCTTAGGCGTGGCTGTTATCCCTGGGGTTGAAGTGAGTTTGCGTGTTTCCTGTGAGCTGGGGTGGAGCGTACTCATTAAGGACACAGAGGAGTATTCAGTTTCATGGAGAGCTGTCCCTCCTCTCTGAGGGATTGAAACAGCTTTTGAATTTATTCAGCCTTCTCTGTTTCTCCTCCTTCACAGTAAAGAGGCTGCCTGTTGTTTTCTCTCCTCTCCAGCTGTCTCAGTTTCGCCCTGCCTGCGCACAAACAAGTGTTCAGAGCTCGCCTTACGTCACCGCCTCACTCTGGAGCAATTGTTTCTGGGAGTGTCAGCGAGTGAAGCACGTTTCTTTTAGTAGTTCTTGCTAGATCCACGATGATTGTAGCGAATGATAAAAGAGAAGAGCTAGCACACACATTGTAATTTTACCCTGCACATCTATTTATCTACTCACATGGAAGGGGAGAGCATGTAAACTACACACGGATAGGTGCCAGGCCAAGAGGCCATCCTATGCTCTAACTACTTCTCTGCCGTGCTGCCCCTATTACCCTGTTTTTAAATCTGTTTGCTTCATTTTTCCTTATAATGACTGAAACATTTTATTTTATTTTATGTAACGAGAATACTGTCTTATTGTGGTCAAGCGCTCCTGTTACAGCTCTGTAGATCTGAGCTTGCTTCATGTTTTCGGTCTGTTAAGAGAAGAATCTGTCACTAAATGAAAACGCATCTCTTATTTACCGTATTTTTCGGACTATAAGGCGCCCTTAAAAATCCTTTAATCTTCTCAAAAATCAACAGTGAGCCTTATGTATTAATTCTGGTTGTGCTTACTGACCTCGAACTGATTTTATGTGGTATAACTGAACAATGTTGAGAGTTATTGTGAATGAGTTGGATAAAGTTTTACTTATCTGACTGTTTTGATTCGCTTAATGCACATTATAGTCCGAAAAGTACGGTATTAGGCCTTTCTTTATTTCAAGCACTAGTCAAACAGAAACTCAGACTGCTGCTGCCAGAGTCTTAACTGGAGCTAGTAACAGAGATCATATCTCTCCAGTTTTAGTTTCTCTCCACTGGCTCCCTGTCAAGTCCAGAATTTAATTCAAAATCTTACTTCTAACCTACAAAGCTCTCAACAACCTAGCTCCATCTTATATTTGAGCTCTTATTGTTCCATATTTTCCTAGCAGAGCACTTGGCTCTCAGACTGCAGGTTTACTTGCAGTTCCTAGAGTTTCCAAAAGCAGAATCGGAGGAAGATCTTTCAGTTCTCAGGCTCCTCTCTTGTGGAACCAACTTCCAGTTTATGTCCGTGAGGCTGACACATTGTCCAGTTTTAAGACTGGGATTAAGATTTTCCTTTTTGATAAATCCTACAGTATTAATGAGAGGAAGTTAAACTGTCCAATTAAAACCTAACATTCCTTGAGTTAAAGCATGTTGCCCACCAGCATGCATGCCAAACTTTAGTCAAAGAGCTTGTGCGATCTGTTGTCACTCAAAGTGATAGTAGGGATGACTCTCAGCTACTACCACATTAAATTTTATCTCAATGTTTCTAAAGATGACTGAGTTGTATGATTTTTTTTTTGTGTTTTCTAAGATGGATTAAATTAAAGTGGGTTGACCTTAAATGCAAGGATTACTTTCTGAGAGGTTTTTTTTTATATATATGTACAGAAAAAGATGAACTGTTCAGACAAGAAATAATTTAAATTATTTCACTTTGGCAGCATACATGCTGTATAGTGCGCTTTGAATTTCAGTCTTTTTAATCAAATTCTAGTAATTAGGAACATGTTTTACATATGGGCATTTTATAATCAGAAGGGATGTAAGTGCAGTGTCATTTCCCACGTTGTTTATTCTCCTTTGTATATTGAAGTCTGATCTGTCAAGCATTTTGTTTTTAGTCTTCAGGGGGAGTGTTCTTTAAGAATATGTGCTTGTTCGATCCTCAGCCCCACTGTCTTATGAAGCGTTCCTCCAAAAATCCACTCCTCTCTTGATTTTCCTCTCTCACAAGCTTCAGCATCAGTGAAGTGGGCCCCTGGGTTTACATTTTCTTTATCCTTTTTAGGAATCCCTCAAATTCCTCTTCCGAGTGCGACTTTCAGTCCGGTCGTCTCTCACCTCCTCACAAAACCACAGCAGCCCAAACGTCCAGATTCCAACAAGTTCAGACTCATCGTCCAGATGTGCTGGTGGGACGGGATGATGCAAGGAGTTATTTGGCATACCTTGTTGATGTTTTGGCTGGCTGAGCTCTAATTATTCACAGCGGTGGCTCCAACGTGCAGATGTCCTATCTGTGTTTGATGCTCCCACCCAACCGGGAATGAGCTTGTTTTGTGAAAAAGACTCCGTCGATTTCCTATAGTTGTTTGGCAGCTACTGTTTATTTGGGCATGTAGAGTTTCCCAGAGGGGGAAAGAAAACACATTTCACTTCGTTCTTATTTTGTAAACATGTCTGACTGAAGGAAACTGGGAAAGAATTCATGAAATGTCTCAGGAAAACAGCAAAAGCCCAAAACTGCAGAAGAAAAAAAAAACTTATTTGGTCTCACCAATACAGAAAAACATGTTCAAATATGATTGTAAGAAGTCTTTCTTTTTTTTTATCTACAGGGGGGATTCTCAGTCTATGGTTTGGCAGATGTTTGTTACTGAGGAGAGGTCCAGTGAAGCATTGTTGATCTGAGTGATTATCCAGCAGTAGCTGAAGGGGAACCTGGCTGTTCAAAAGCGTTTTATGTGTTTTGCAGCTGCTGTTGAGCAAGAATCTTTGCAAGTCTTAGGACGGCTCAGAGGTCTCAGTGAGCAGATCCTGTTTGTGAAACCTGCAAAAAAACAAAGTCTTATACAGAGCAATAAAGGCTTGTAATAGAGTTCCAGTTCTCCAGAACTTTCTGCCAAACTGGACACATGTTCTTTACTCAATGTGTTTTACTAAACTCCAGTCTTCTACCATCCCTCACCTTTTCTTTGTCTTTTAATTTTACGTTAAGTGATCTCTCTCTCTCTCCACCTCTCCATCCTTTTTCTAGGTGCTTTATCCCAAACATCTATGCAGCTCTGTGCACGGCTGTCTTAGTGCCCCTCATCTGTCTGGTTGCAGTACTGGTTATATTCATCCACATCTACCAGGTCACTGAGCAGTGGAAGGCCTACGATGACCTTTACCGTGGACGGACCAACAGCACAGGTGAAATCCAATAGTGTAAAGTTAAACGCTACCTTTGCGTATTGTCATCGGGTTTTATATGCAATCACAAAAACTGTCCCTTTTTCATTTCCTGCTGTATAAAAATTAGTAACCTGTGCCAGAAAAGATCTCAGAATCTAAAGTGCATCCACCTCTGTTTATTTCTGAGTTTCTCATACTTGTCTGCCCTCATTGGCTCATAAATATACTTGAAACTAAAACACTGACAGTCAGCTTTTTATTTTACATTAATGAATGTATTTTCATTAATTTAATTAAACGAGCCAAATCACTTCACATAATAAAGTTCTACGTTTTACTGTAAACAATCTAAAACTTGCATGCAGCTGTTATTTGTACAGAAATAAGCACCACCGAGTTATGACTAATGTGAATTAACACTTATTCAGTGACTTTACCCTTACATGAACATTCAAGCCAACTCTCTTTAGCCCTACATCATTTGGGCTGTAATCTCAGCCCATTTGTGATAATCAGCAGGACTAAACCAGCTTTGCGCCATTGCAGACCTTCAACAACAAAGCAAAGCCTGAATTTATGCCATTCCTTAAGCTGGTGAGCAGTTCACTTTGTGTGTGGCCACCGGAGCAGCGTAGGAACCCAAACAGGTGATTTGCTGAACTGCACGTAGGTGTGCACTCAAACAGATACGTGCTTTTGTTTCTCCAGAGCAGACTGAGGCCCAAGCTGCAGTTAGACTGGTTGGGAAAAGCAAAGATAAAACAGCAACAAGGAAAAGCTTCAAAGACTTAACCTTAAACAGAATGAACAAAAAACAACTGTATGGAGGGGAGAGGGCAGCATGCCGTGCACAAAGCAGCAGACTGTCTAGACTGAACATTTCGTGCAGTGTAGAGTTCAGAAAGTATTTACAGTAAACCAAAACCCCAAACATGATGACTCTGACATTCTTATTAAAGTTTACTGAGGAATTTGGTGAACCCATAAGCATTAGCTGCACCTTAACAGTGTTTAATCTAAGAACACAGCGATGCCAGAACTCTGAATACATAGGAACATGCATGAGCCCGTTTGAGGCATGCACATTATGAATCCGCATTTCTTAATAAAAGTTGTCTTTTTGACACTGAATATTGAAATTGCATTTTTTAATTTCTTACTACGGCAAACAGCTGAGGAGATAAAATGGGTCTAATGTGTGCACTGGTGCGTGACTGTGCGAAAACCACATGTAAAACTCCCAGGCCTGTGTGAAATATTGCAGAACTCCTGATGTCAGTGAAATCATGGGAGCGTGCCACTAGTTGCCCGGAGCTCACTCTTCCCCACTTGCAGGAATGTGCCTGCATAAAACAGATATATCGAAAATAGGCCACTGTGCCCAATCCAATCCAAGCAAGAAAAATAAAAAATAAAAATCCAACTAAAGTCGCCAAATCAAAATCTCATCAGCAATCTTGTCCCAGCCCAAGTCAACTTATAAGGTCTGTTTACGATACCTGGTGTTCTTTTGATGCACACTTTTTACAACGCTCACTAAACGCACTTTGATCAGCAGAGAAATTAAAAGCTACAATCAAACTTTCAGTGGATGAACTTTTATTGCTAAATGTTTTATTGTTTGTGCTGTTGGAGTCTGAGCAGCTGTTTAATGTGCAAGTCAAAAACAAAACAACAACAACTGATTGTTGTTGTATTTCATGTATTTTGGGTTGAGCAATTAACCATTAAGTAACATATAAAAGAAATGAATTCAATGCATTTGCTTTGCATTTTTAGAAATAACATTTTACTTTGTGAATTATAATCTTCCTTGAAGGACTGCATATTACCATCTACTTGTCATGCTTGTTTAAAATAAAACAATATTAGAAAATAATCATGCAGCTGTTGTGTCCCAGACGTCATGCATGATTTTATGTTTAGTGAACCTGATCTGACCCTGATCTGACCCTGATGACCCCAAATCTATCAGATGGACAGGGACTGTTATTTCATTGATCTGAATACAGTCTGAGCCATCTGATGACTTTCTTTCTTGAATTAATCAAGCAGAAAAGACAATTCTCTATGATCATCACTGTTTACAAATGTTTGATAATCAAATTGTGTTAGTTCACTCAATGTTACAGGTTGAAAATAACTACTCATTTTTATTTTACATAAACAGTAAGTAATGATTTTTATTCCTCATTCAAAGAAGAAATCAGGTTAATATGCATTTCTTGATTTTCTGTCTGAAATGAGCCAAGCAACGTAAGTATGTGAAAGTTGAAGCTTCGGTCAACTAAATGTTTACTGAAAAAGAAATGTCATGTTTAATCTTTACAGAAGATACAGAAGAGTTTGACTCCACGAAGTCTGCTTTTCTGCAATAATCTCTCTGTCAGTTGTTAAACAAACTCATTCTCTGACCTCGACTTTTGATAACACCTTACGTCAAAAACCACACCTCTTTCTGGTCCATCCACGAATCAGAAAGCTCTAAATTGACCCGGAAGTCAACTCATTTAAAATGTGGCAACTTCCCGGTTCTGCTAGAGACTAGAGAGTCTAGAGTCTAGAGTCTAGAGTCGAGAGTCTGGGGAGATGAAGAACTAGAGAGTTGCTGGAGTTGAAAGATTCTGTTAGAGTCTGAGAAGTTCTGAAGAATGAAAGGAGTTCAGAGTTCTTGGGTGCAAACGCGTTCAGGATGACCCAGAGACGTTTTGGGATTATAATTTCTGTTTGAACAAACCACACACGACTATCTAAGGATTTCAGCTGCTCTCAACGGAGACGCTGAAAAAGTCTGGAGGATTCTCTATCGAGCTGATTTATCATCGACCAGGTAACAGTTTCTTCTTCGACTAAAGTGTACCGGAGGCAAGCTGAGATCTGATGAAGCGTGCACGTTCTGGACAAACAGATTAATTCCCTCACATATCTCTCTGTAAGATAACTCCATTTCATCTTAAAACTCTCCTCTTTCTCATAAAATCAGTACAGATATTTTCGAAATATCTGAAGCAAAGTCCTCGTTCACCGCAGAGTGATCGATGTCCCTTTTCTGTGAAACTTGTCTGTTATTATTTTCATATTTTGCCAAATTAATGTAAATGTTTGATGTTAAACTTTGATTCTGAAAATAAATGACCGCATTCATTTTGATGGGTCAAAGATAAATAACGTCTCTCGTTACATTTCTGTTAAATTCAATGCACGACATTACACAGTCAGAAAGATGAGGAACTCGTGAATATATTGTATGCATATATATCTCATATATTGTCATACTACAACTAGTGGCACGTACCTACGTGACTACTACATATGCAATACTGTGACATCTCGCAATATATATTAGCAGTCAGAAAATATATCGGGGATGACTCTTGGCTACTACCACACCAAATGTTAGCCGTAAATCTGTAGATCATGCTGAGTTACAGCCATTTGTTTGGTTTGCTCAGGTTGCTTTGCTATGGCCGCCATCTCGAATGGGGTTGGCTCCAAATGTTCATCCTCTATACTTGCTGATTACTTTTGGAGAGTTTATTTAAAATCCATCCATTATTTTATGAGATATTTTGCTAACTCTGCACACGAGCTCTCATACAGACACAAGCAAAAACATAATCACCTCTCATTTTTGGCAGTTGCCAAAATTTAGACTCATCTTTTTTGAGTTGAGCAAAATGAACTTGAAATGATTTGAATCTGAAAATTGCATCATTAGATATATAGAAATATTTTATTAATGTTTGTAGCTCCACCAGACAGACAGACTCAGACAGTGTCCCACATGCAACACAAACCCCCACAAGTACAGTGGCTACACAAACTTATTTTCCTGCTTAGCTCCTTTTCATGTCAACAAGTCAGTCAGTCAGCATTTTGCAGTCAGTCTCCACTTGGCTTTGGGAACCTGTTTTTACTGTCCACAGACTGGAATGTGCTTACATGGTTGGAAAAAAATCAAACCAGTTAAGGGAGGAGGAGATAGATCTGTAAGACGGAAGAAGAAAAAAAAAAAAAAACGGGAACGAGACAGAAAGAGCTTGAAGTTTGAAAAGAAAACTGATTAAACACATGTAGTGACTGTGAGAATGCATCAGGAGACTGCACGGCAACAACTCCAAAGCTTTAGAAAACAAAGAGGAGGAAAGCTTATAGGACATAAGTCTAAGAAATAAGAAGAGAAAGAAAGCAGAGCGCAGGAAGTATAACTGTGCTGACTCAGAGGAAAGTCGCTGTGGGATAAGGGGCAGACTTTTGAGCAGAGTGGAAATGACGGAGTGATGGAAGTGGCACCTAAGTGAGGGCCTTTTGTGCAAACCTGGGCCCTGTGCCCTGTGTTTCCATCCTACTTGTGAAGTGAACTGTACCTTGTGTCCTGCAGAACACATAGCAGCAGGCTGCAGCTGACTCTGTGTGACTGTAAATGGGCTTTCCCCTCACGATTTAAAGTGCAAATCAACATCCATGTCATTGCCCTAAAAAACATCACGACCACTCACAAAGTAAACATGCACAAAAAAAGACCTTTAGTACTTGCTTCCATGCTTGTGAAACGACTTGATTAGAAACCGCAAGAAGCATCACACACACTTATAGGTTAATAGATAACCTGCCCAATAGATTAAACGAGTTGTCAATTTTCAGTACATCCTTAAAATCGAGGTAAGGTCAGCAGGCCCCATGTGACTGAGGAAAACATTTTCGCTAATCAGATACCAAATAATACAACTCCAACCCTAATAATGTGTCAAATGTAAATAATAACCGAGTGTAATGGTTTGCAAATCTCAAAAACACATTTTATTCACAATAGAAAAATGTAAACATGTTAAATGTTTAAACAAATAAATTGTGCAATTTTAAGGAAAAAGGTCATTTTTAATTTGATGTCAAGACAGAGCCACATTTACCTCCGTGTAGTGTCTCCTTTTATAAACAACAGTCTGTAAACATCTATATGTTCAGTATTTTTTAATCTGTAGCGTGTGCTCATTCCACTCATTTTGCCAGCATGTGTCACATATGTTGTTCAAAAATGTGCATACTCTTTTCTGCATTTATGCTGCCATTCCAGATTTGTAAGCTGCCCATGCCATAAGCATTAATGCACTCCCATACCATCAGAGAGGCAGGTTTTTGAACTATGTATTGATAACAGGCTGGATAATCCTCCTTTTTAGTACAAAGGTCCATATGTTTTCAAAAAAACAATTTCTAAATAAAAAAAAATCTGACTTTTTAAAAAAATCATCTGAGGTTTGCTAAAGATGATGGACTCAAAACAACACGTTTGTCTTCATCGTCATTACATCAGAACCATTGTAATATAAATAAATGTATGCCGCCTATTTGTTTTCTTTACTTTTTAGTATTTTTAAATCTTGACATGTTCTGTCAAACGTAATGTGTTGTTGTTGTTTTGTGTTCCAGAGGTGCCGCTGGTCCTTTGCCTGTTTTTGCTCATCTCCCTGGTCTGGCTGTGGGCTGGACTCCACATGGGCTTTAAGCACCTGTGGATGCTCATCCTCTTTGTCATCTTTAACTGCCTGCTGGTGAGTTCACTGACTTATTTTTATATTTTATTATTTGTTTTCACGCCTACTTGTTTCCCCATTGACTCACCTAACTCTCTCTATTCAATAATGGCTGCATTTTTTAATACAAATTTTGAGGGGTTTTTTTGTTTGCACAGTGTCTTGTAGCAATTAAATTAAAACATCCAAAGAGGATTTATGAAGTGATCAATTAAAAGGAAAGGTTTTTCTATGTATTGTCCAGCTTCAAATCTGTAGAATATCTTCTTTTTTGTGGATTGTCTTGAGTGTTAGTTTATTATTTTGTCACTTTGATGGGCCGTGTGTGTGTGTGTGTGTGTGTGCACTGTGTGGATGTTTGGCTGACTTGGAGTACTTCAGGGGTCAGATCATCCCACTTTGATCCACTGCTTCAAAGAGTGGGGAATGCCTCATGGAACATGTGGAGGAGGGTTCTCAATGTGCCATATCTCCCTCTTCCTCGCCGCTTTCCATCTTTGTTTTAGCCTTTTTTGTCTTTATTTATTAATTATTTGGTACTTTAGTGTCTCTTTACCTGCCTCTTTTTTCAAGTAACAGGAAGCATTAAAGCGAAATGTTGCAATGATTATTACTCAGTTAGTTCCTCACATCATAAAAACCCTACAGGTAACGTTCATTTCAAATCAAATCCAATTTGCCAGACATTTTCTTACACAAGTCTTCAGAAAAATACAAAACTAAACGTCTTGGAAAGTCTACAAACCAATTAAAGCACAAAACGCAAATGGAAAAAACACATGACACATTTGAAAACACAAAAAGCAACAAATGCATAATAAAAGTAGCAACGGTGCTGTAGATAATAACATGACTAATTTTTCTTTATATCAGCTTCAGGCTGAGTTTCTATAAATACAGCCTCAAATGCACCTCCCTCAAATTATCTATTAAATAAGCAGCAAGTTCCTTCATCAATTCTGATTTTATTTATTAATTCATTTTTTAATATAGTCACACTCTTGGTTCACTTCATGTAATCAGTGTGTGAATGGGCTTTTTGAATATACAATAAATACTGAATTAAATAAATATTAAGCTTCCAGTTTCATTCTTGATACAAAATATTGTAAGCTTTGGATCCCGGAGGACCATGTCTTCAAGTTCAAGTTCAAGTTTCTTTATTGCCATTCACATATGGTGCATGAAGTGGAACAAAATTGTGTACTCAGAGTCCCAGTTACATCCCAAAACAGCAAAATATAAAGTATAAAAGAAACAGTATACAAGGACCTAAGATAAATATGAAGATATAGGCTAAATAATACGCTAGATCCAAGATATAGGCTAAACACTAATAATGTAAATAATACGGTATATTAAACAGCAGCCTGAACATGAGTCTGTAGTGAGCAGATGGGTATGAATGAATACAGGAGCATGAGATCAGCAGCATGAGATAGTCAGCAGCATGAGATCAGCAGCATGAGATAGTCAGCAGCATGAGATCAGCAGTGTGAGATCAGCAGCATGAGATAGTCAGCAGCATGTGTCTTGTGTTCTGCCATTGGCTGGTCCAGAGATGTCATTAGAGCATCTAACAAATCAGTGGCTGATGTTGCATTGATCCACCTATTTTATCCATTCATAGAAAGTTTATCAGAATTCAACATGTTCCACATGTTTTACAGCTCAAACAAAATAAAATGTTTGTTCAGACCACTTCTGCTGACCTCTGTGTTGTATCGGAGCCAGAAACTCAGACAATGACCTCTAAACGTGCAGTTTTTAAAGACACATATAGGTTTATCAGAGTCAGAGTCAGAGTTTCTTTATTGTCATTCGCACCTCATGTGGTACATGTGGTGGAGCGAAATTATGTACGCAGGGTCCCTTATTTAGAAGCTTTTACAATTAATCAATGTGCAACACATTTGACAGACATTTAGCAGGTTAAGTTTGCATTTTAGCCTTTGCACCTTGCTCATCATTTTACCTTCTCTTGTGTTATGAGCAGACATCAGTGAAAAGATCCTAAAAAGGTGGTACCTTATTGAGGAATCTTGACATTTGCTCTTTTTTGTTGAGGTCGAGCCTTAGAAAACGTGCAAACTGCTCTCCTTTTTTAAATTCAAAAAGCTTTTGTTGAAGCATCCTTCAGTATTGATACTGTCTTGCAGAAGTTTTTTTTTTTTTCCAGGACTGAATATTGTTCTGTTTGCCCAAGAGTCCTTTTGGTTCCCACATTCTTTGGCACAATGGACCCTTTTCTTCTGCAGTGTATAAATGTTTGCAGTTGCTTCTCTCGTGGTCTGTGAGACAGCATCCGTCTGTAAGGTGCACCATAACATGTCTGTGGTAACCCCTGGTGATATGTGGCATCCGCATGCTAAAGACAACAGCGTTACACCAAAATAAACTCCTCCTGTTGGCGCAGTGACTAATGACGGGAGGTGATGTCAGCACCAACAGTCAGTGTCGCACTTAGCATTTGCCTGTCAGCTCCAACTCTTTAACATCATGAGGTCAGTTTGATCCGACCAGACATTCAAAGGGTCTGGTCATTTGTTGGTGTGACCATGTTTTATATACAATCTGCCTGTCAACAGTTCAGTAATTAACTTACACTGTTAGAGTTCACTGATTTCAACAGTTTTTTTTACCTGACTGAGATTAACATGTTTTGTTTTTACTCTAACTACATATCTTGTTCTTTGCAGCCCCTAAAGCCATCCGAATTACTACCATGTCTGCTTTTACACTAGTACCACTTGATCACACCACAAATCAGGGCCAAAGGGGACGTAATGCAACATTAAAAGAGTCATTCCAGCCTCGTTGAGTCTCTTCTATTACATTTTCTTCGCCCTGTGCTTCAGACAGAGCATATTCTAACAAAAGTTCTCCTACAACTTCTCAGTTTCAATGTAAAAAACAAAGAATAGAAAGTCTTGCTGGAACAGAAGCATTGCAATTGATTTTCAATTGAAGAGCCAACACTGCAATTTTAAAGCTCTTATTAAAACATTAGGCCCTGGAGTCTGCAGCAGGGTTAGGAATAGAAACAGGTAAAATAGCCCCGAAGCTAAGGTCATTGATTAGAGGTAAACCAAAGTAAGGACATCTGTTGAAATGCTGCTGCAGTGTAAAAAACAAGGATGCAATTAATCTTGTGTGCAAGCAGAATTCAGGGGGCAAACCTGATTCATGCAACTGTTTGGGAATAAAATTCAGTTTATTATTGTAGCATTCCTTATAGAGCTAAAGCAAACTAAACCCTAACAGATAATGCTGTTTTGTTTTTTTGTTTTGTTGTAAAACTATATATATTTGGCAGCAATTAAATTAATAATAAAGACACAAAGAAGAGTTTCTTCATTTTTCTTTGGTTTATTTGATTTTATTCTGTATTAAAATATTCCTTTACAAGAAAGCCTTTACCAGTGGGTGTACCTGTCAAAATAATTTACATGTGTTGCTGTGGCACAGTGGCTCAGTTGGTAGAGCTGTTGCCTCTCAGCGGGAATGTCACTGAATCAAGTCCCGACCAGGAACCTTTCTGGGCGGAGTTTGCATGTTTTCTCGGTGCATGCATGAGTTTTCTCCGATTTCCTCATACAGGCCAAAACCATGCATGTTAGGCTGATTGGTAACTCTAAATTGTCCCTATGTGTGAGTGAGAGAGTGACTGGTTGTTTGTCTCAGTGGCCCTGTGAAGGACTGGAGACCTGTTCATGGTGTACTCCCGTCTCTTACACAATGACAGGTGGACATGGTCACCAGTGACCCCCATGACCCAAAAAGGAAGATGGATGGATGGATGGATGGTGTTATTAGGCCTAATTTATGTAATTTACTAGTTTGAATTTATGCATTCAGCATGAAAAGTTTCAAATAACAAACAGCCTATTTCTAACTGCATTATAAAACTACTAATCATGATCTTCAACCATCATGAAGGACCCCGCTCACCCAGCACACACTTTTTGCCCTGCTCCCCTCAGGCAGAAGGTTGAGGAGCATTAAGTGTAGAACCACTAGACTGAGGAACAGCTTCTTCCCTGAAGCTGTAAGACTCATTAATCCCTAATCAGGATTATCACTGAAAAAAAATCACTATAATGCCACTTTTATTGGTGATATGTGTTGCTGATTATCCATGTTGCTGATCTCATGCTGCTGATTAATTCATGCTGCTGTGTTCATTCATACTCATCTACTCACCCAAACTCATGTTTGTGCTGTTGTTCAACGTATTTTTTTTGCACTATTAGTGTTTAGCATATTTCTTAGTTTATATCTTAGATTCTTAGTACTGTTTCTTTATACAGTTTATATTTTTGCCATTGCTGGATGTAGCTGGAACCCTGTGTACACAAGTTCATTCCACCTCATGTACCACATGTGATGCAAATGACAATAAAGAACCTTGACCTTGAACTGGAATAATAATAATTATTATTATTATTATTATTATTATTATTGTTTTTATTCCATGTTAAACATACAATCTACTTTACTTCTGCCTTGACTTCTATCATTTTTCCATTGTTTTTCATTGACTTGCTGAAGCTGGAAGTCATTAAACTGTAGGTCTCAGCAGTTTTTTGTTTGTTTTTGTTTTCTTCATGCAGTGAATTTTCCATTATAAGAATTTTCCTTGGTGTAGTTGTGTGGCACACCTCCCTGCTGCTAATTATTGGGCATTGCTAAACAGCTGCAGATGCTCCAACTGTTCATGCCTGTTTTTATTTTGCAGGGCGTGAAAACAACCGTTAGTTTCCATCCTCACAGTCACATTTAAAAACTAAGAAAATCTGACCTGCACGTTTAGATTTTTACTTCCACATTGCCTGCGCCGCTCCTTTTTCAGCCGCACGTCTGGCTTTCATCAGGCTGAGCTAGAAGGCAATAATCAGATCACCACAGCACCGCCCCTCATTATCTCCTCTGTTTGCTCACAAATCTAATGTCATTGTATTGGGAGGGCCGAAAATATCTACAGGCAAGAAACAGCACCAATCATAATTAAGATTTAA